AATATTTAAATGTGACACAGCAGAATTACAAATAACAGTACCCGTAGATGTCACACCCCCTGCAGGTGTACTCGGCTGCCCACCCCCTCCGGGGTAATAAACTGGTTGCCCCTGGGGGAACCAATATGCCTGCTGCTGCTGTCCTCGGCCACGCCCCCTGCCTCCACGGCCTCTGCCGTGCCCACGTCCCCGCCCGCGCTGTGGAGCGCCGTTCTGCCGAGGGTGCCCGACCGGGTAAGCCTGCTGCCCGGCCGGGTGAGTGGCTCCTGAATTCTGCTGAGTCGGCTGTTGCCCAGACGATTGCCTGGGAGACGAAACAGCCGCGCCAAACGCCTGATGAAGGGACTGGGACTCCTGGGAGCGGAGATAAAGGACCCGCTGCTCTAACTCAAGAAGATGATTACAGAGAGTCTCAAACGAGAAATTTTGTCCAAATAAGGACACAGCAGTGAATAAAGATTCATACTCAGGTCCTATTCCCATAATAGTAGTTTTTAAAATTTCACGCTGAGGCAGTGAGGCACAGGGCAATTGATTGTGGCAAGATCATCAGCTAATGTTTTAATTTCTCACAAATAATTATCCATGGACTGATCAGGTTTCTTTTTAATTTGATTAAATAAACGCTTTAATTCCATAGATCTCGCTAAACTGGCAGACATAAACCGAGACTCCAACCGCTCCCAAATTTCAAATGAATGTTTTAAATCACGTACATCGATAAGAACATCCCTAGATAGGGTTGCAAATAACCATGAACGGATGGTTTGATCAATTCTTAACCAAGTAGAAAATTCGGGATTGGGAGTTTGACGGTTAAGAGCATCTATGGAATAAGCAGGTGGTACCTGAATGGAGCCATCAACCATGCCAAGGAGAGCTTGGGACACCAAAAACGATTCGAACTGTGTGCGCCAGGTAGTGTAGTCTTCCACCGCTAATAATTTGGTAGTTACAATATTTGTGACATTAGTTGCCACATGAGAGATACTTTGGGCGAGATCTGTGAGGAGTGAACCAGTCGGGCTGGCTGCTGGTGTGCGAGAGGGAGGGATGACAGAGGAGACACCAGGTGAGCCGACAAAAGTGAGACCGGCAAACGATGATCCAGTCGAGAAGGGTGGCGGTTCCAGAGGTATGGGCTGCACAGGGACCGGAGCCGACCATGGAAACATCTGTGGAATATTCGGAAACAAAGAATATGGCAAAGAGGTCCGGCTTGGTGATGCATAATTGGAGGAGAATGTCACACCAGTAGAGAAGGAGGTAGGGGGAACACCAATTGATGGCGGCATGGTGGCCACGGCAGGAGAGAGATGCTGGGCCGAGGATGGACCGGTGCTGCTTGCTGCAGAAGCTGCCGTCGACATCTGGAGTGCGGCGGCGCTAGGGTTCCGCGGCAGGGAGAGAGGTGGCGCTAGGGTTGCGCGGCAGTGATGGTGCGGCGGCGCTGATCGGGTAGAGAGAGAGAGAAAAAAAAAGAAAATTTAACTAGCTCTTGATACCATGTGTAAATAATGGGAAAAGTTACTCCCTGAGGAGCCCTGACAGATATATTTATATTAGAGAGAGTTTAATGTAAAGTACAATACTAAGCCTCTAATAATTCTATTACGTAGTATTATCTTTTTAAAAATTATTTAACATAAACTTTATGTAGATACAAGTGGTAAAAACTTCACACAAATTAAAATGCATACTAGCTAATTAGGTTATGGAGCGGCAGGACGAAGCGGACCCACCCTACATGGGGCGGGCATGGGTCATCAAGTTTGGACCCGTGCGGATCACGAGGCAGGATGGATCAACAAATTTAGACTCGTGCGAGTCACGGGGCGGGGTAGGGCGGATCCACCCAGCGTAGCCACGGGGCGGGTCCGAATCTTGTAGCACCCTAATGATCATGTCCATGCGGAAAACAGAGGTCAACCCGATTAATGGTGGAATACCCGGATTAAAATAAAAAAATGAAATACTACATCCGTCCCTTAAAATTTTGCCAAAGTTGATCGGCACGGAGAATAATAAAGTAAAAACTGTGTGGTTTAGATTTGTGCAGAGGAGAGAAAAATAACAGAAACCACAAAATAATTGATTAATAAGAAAAGTGGCAAAGTTTTTTGGGACATCCCAAAAAGAAAAGATGGCAAAGTTTTAAGAGACGGAGGGAGTATGTATCACGATATAATCATCTACGTAGTCAAACCCTCACTTCAAAGTGATTTTCGAGGGAGTTAGTATTACCCTATCGCTGTTATCTAAGGAGTAAGTGTTTTATTCAAATTTCACATGATTATTTAGATAATAATTATACAATGTTAATCTGTTATATTTTGGAGATGTAATTTCGATGACTATATAATACAATGGGGTCATCGATGATAGTCGTGATGTTATAAATATATCATTTTTAATATTTGATGAATATATTCTTATTTAAAAGTGTTAATACCCTAAAATAGAAATGTAAGCCTTTTGTTGGGGTGTCCAAAAGAGACAAGTGAGAAACTTAAGTCGGGACGGAGGGAGTACTTTATTTCTACACCATAAAATATTAAAATCTCGTTTGATGATCCTGTAATTCCTGTTTTTTGACTTGTCAAACTTATTAGCCAAGTTTTTCACCAAACATGTAACTTTATATTTCACGCGTTGAACTGTGTAATAATAAGAAAAACTAATGTTATTACTTTTCTGAATGTATTGGCTGGAGTTATTGTAAATAATCATTTAGCTATTTTTGGTATCATTTTTTCTCTTACCAAACGGCTCTACGTCCAAAAGGTTGAATCCCCAACCCCAAGGGCCCCCCCACCCCGACCCGACAGGATGGTGGGGGAGTAAATCACGGTGACTCAGTCGGCAAAGCGGCAGTAGGCCTTTACCCGTGCGCACCAGAGGGCCAGCCTTATTTCAGATTCTGAAAACCCTCTTTTGGCCGCTGCGGGATTCGAACCTTGGTCTACGTCCAATTTTTCCCACCGCTCGATCAACTGAGCTACCCGTGCGGGTGTCATCCGTTCCTAAGATTAATGGTTTTTTTCTTAAGTACGGCTCATATCATTTTAGCTATTTTTTATATCATTTTTTCTCTTATCCAAAAAATTAATTGTTCGGTCGGTGTCGGGGATCTATGTCATCCTTTTTTATAATTCCATCATTAGCCTCAATGCCTTATCGATTTGAGAAAATAAAACACAACTTCAATATTAACGGTTAGAACTTTCCACAGTATGTATGAAATTTCAGCACCAACAAAACAACTGAAAAACGTAACGTGAAATGTCAAAAGGCGTACCACCAAAAGAAAAATATAAACATGAGCTGTCAAGTGTTTTTTTAAGTTCAAAATTTATTAGAAATCATTTATTTGTATGCTGAACTTTAAAAAAAAATCGAAATCAAATAAATTTTATGTTGTTACGATACTAATATTACATATACAAAAGAAAAAAATCTCATAAAAATATTGTGGTGAGCAACTAAAAAAAACTTTCAAAAGTACTACGAGTATAATACAAATTGTTATGATTCTAAAAAGTTACTTCAAATTAGTTTGCTATACACTTGAAAAAGATCGAATTAGACATAAAAAAAAGTTATCTGTCATAAAAAGTATAATGTCGTGGATAACGTTAGGGCCAGTTTGGTTCAGGCTAATCTCAGGTGTTAGGTGTTGTAATGTGATGCAAAACATATTACTCGTAAATGCTAAAGTTTGATTTGCTTGAGAAAAAAATTGAAAAGTCACGTACCCAATGTGTACTACTTTCGTCCCTTAAAATTTTGTCAAAGTTGACCGGCACGGAGAATAATAAAGTAAAAACTGTGTGATTGAGTTTTGTGCAGAGGAGGGAGAAATAACAGAAACCACAACATAATTGATTAAAAGGAAAATGATAAAGTTTTTTGGGACGTCCCAAAAAGGAAAGATCACAAAGTTTTAAGGGACGGGGAGTATAACATTTCCTGAGATATCTTAATTTTCTTCTGAAAATTCTCTCAATTAATTATATCTTTCCATTTATTTTTCTTTTCAACTCTTCCATCTTTAAATCGGAGTTAAATTTTTTCTCACTATATTTCCGCATGTCTAATATAGTTTAATTGTCTATATTAGACAATTTAGACATTTAATGTCTAAATAAGCTACTCTTCATTCTATAACAATAGACATTTAATATAGTTTTTTTTAATTATATCCGCATGTCTAATTGTCTATTCTTGTTAGCTTATTTAAGGGTTTGAAATGTGAACTTCAACGTTGAATGGCAAAATTATCATTTTTAAAGGGAAATATCTCTAAATAGGAGTAAATGAGGGTTGAAATTCCAAAATAGGACTACTATGTTTTTCTTCTTGAAATAGAAGTTATTACTGCAATATATGAAAAATACTGACATGATTTAAAAAATCTGCCATTAATTATAATAAATACTGTCATGTAAAATGTAGTATACTGCAACTATTTTGCAGTCAAGCCTACAAGATGGCAGTAAATACTGTCATGTTAGTCCTATTCCGGGAATAAAAACATGGTAATCCTATTTTGGAATTCCAAACTCCATTTACTCCTATTTTGGGAAATCTCCCTTTTTTAAATTTTGAAAACAACGTTTATGAATAACTTGAACGTCTTTCAAATTGTAAGCTTATTAGTCGATCGATAAATCTATTCAGAATACTATCTCAACAATGGTTTTTTTTTATTTCTGTATGTGATCTACAACATTTGCTATTGAACGTACTTTGCTTAAAAATGATCCAATTAGTTTTGATTTTATTTATTATTCAGGTATTTCATTTTTTCTTTGATTTAAATTACTTTAAATTTACATTGTAATAACTATGTTTATTATTAAAAATAAAATTAAAAAATTGAAGTAATTCTCTAAATCTACAGTATAATAATTCACTCAATCAAATTACATTAATGTCATTTTCTTCCATCAAAAGAGCCTTAAGGTCACGCGCGAGGCACAAGGAAGAAAAAGATGCACACTTACCGAAAGTCTTTATATACTCCGTCTAAAATAAGGAATTCACTTGCAAACAACCAAAAAAAATCTATATATTTATATGTCACTGTACACTAAAGCCAACTTGGACGCTTTCAACTCATCCCATTTGTCGTTGGCTTCACCCGCCTAACAAATGGCCGCTTTCTCAACTTTTTCTTTTTTCTTCTTCTTCGCATTGGTGGCGTCTATTGGTTGCGCCGCCGCATGCTACACGGCCGTGTTCGGCTTCGGAGATTCCATCACCGACGCCGGAAACCTAATTCACCTCCAGGCCGACGGCACAGTTCCTCATATGTACTTCTCTCCGTACGGGGAAACCTTCTTTGGCCATCCCACCGGCCGCTGCTCTAATGGCCGAGTCATCCTTGATTTCATTGGTATGCTAAGCCTACAATTCCGATATGGTCATTTTTTTTGCCTTTATATCGTCAATATTTTATTTTAAGCCTAATTCAACAATAAACCTAGCTATATTTTTAAAAACAAATCGACACATAATTTCTATACGGTTTCATAGCTCCAATGCTTTATGAAGTCATATAAAGCAAGTAACTTCACCATATATAATCAATCAATTTTGATAGGAGATTTCTCCAAGAATCATGTACAGTTCCTTAAAATTTTTTGTTCATAGTCCCACAACTATTACTTTCTTATTACTCCCTCCGTTCCATAATTTACTTCCGTAATACAAATGTCACACGAATTAAGAAAGTGAGTTTTGTGTGGTGGAGAGTTGTGCAGAGGAGAGAGAAATGTGTAAGAATTGCTGTGAACAACAAATGTTTTATCAAAAAGGGAAAGAGAAATTCGTTTTGGGACATACTAAAAGGGAAAGTTTGAAGTATTTTCAGGGACGGAGGGAGTATTATATTCCTCCCCTCACACGCGTTTGTTTGAGTTAATTGTGATTAAAATGTTAAAATAGATTTTGATTGATTTTACAATTTAAAAATGGCTACTTCCTTATTCTTTGTCAGTTGTGTATTTAATTATATGGGAGTTATTTACATATATGCTTAAAAATTAACGAACTCATTTGATAATATTGAAATTGATATCGATGAAAAATTGGTTGAAGCAGTTGAAGGAGTTGTAACATTAATCTTACTTATTTTGATAATATCAAAATGATTTTCTACATTAACTTTAGGTAATTAAACTCAAAAAACAACATTAATCTGATTTATTTTTATTTTAACATAATTCAGTTCGCAAAACCAGCATAAAATGCACGCGTTTGATAAAAATGGAGTTATTAATTAGCTGGGCTTTAAAATTATTTATTATAAAGAAAATGTAATATTTTAATACCAACGGATTTTTTCGGTCCATTCAGCACGGATCGAGTAATAATTAATGCATCAGTGCTGTCTGGAAATTCAGATATTAATTAATGAATGAATAAACAGTGAGGAATTAATTAGAGTTGGGCGCAAATTGCAGCACAGCGTTATGGGTTGCCATTACCGCCACCCTCGCTGAGCCAGCCGGATGGGAATAAAGGAATAAATTTTGGGGTGGTGGGATCTCGTGCGGTGGATGCGGAATTTTACATGAAGATGGGGATATACGATACCATCACCAACGTCTCCATGATTGACCAATTGAACTGGTTCCAAGAAGCTCTCCACTCTCTCTGTAATTCACCTTCAGGTATGCAAAGTGTAAACAAATAATTCATATGTAATTTCTGTCACAAAGTTTTCTAGATGCACAATTTTATCAAAATATTGGATAAAGAGGGCAGATCATATGACGCTGGTAGATCACAGTATTCAATAATTTATTTAACTGTCTTTCCGATTGAATTTTTAGGTGAAATCTGGTACGAATAAACTAGACTTAATTTAGGACATGTTCAAAAAAATTCATAAAAAAAATTCACCGAGAAGGTCCCCAAAAGTCCTCGGTCGGACGGCAAGACCTATCAGGCCGGCCTAACAGGAACGATACTTATCGATAAATCTTTAAAAAACTACTGTACTATATAAGTCTTTAGGCTAAAGGGTCAAATAGGTACATGAACTAACTTAAAATGTTCAATTAGCCTCTTATTTAGGAGGTTCTGCTCGGCCGTCGCCAATTGAAGCGGTTCCCGGTGAAATTTTTTGATAAAATTTTTGGAGCATCTTCTTCATTAAGTGTAGTTTACCCATACCAAATTTCAGCTAAAAATTCAACCAGGAAGGCAGTCAAATGATTTTTTGAAGATAACTGCGCAGTTAAACAGCGCAGTACATTTCGGAAAATCATTTGACTGCCTTCCCGATTTAATTTTTAGCTGAAATTTGATATGGGTAAACTAGACTTAATGAAGAATATGCAGAAAAAATTTCATCAAAAAATTCTATCGGGAATCGCCCTAATTGGCGACGGCCAGACATAACCTTCTAAATATTAGGAGCTAATTGAACACTTTAAGTTAGTTCATGTACCTATTTGACCCTTTACCCTAAGTCTTTATTGATCATTTTTAACAATTATATTGAAATGTATTTAAGCGTTACAGTGGTTTGAAAAATGATTGTTTCTTGAAGTGTTACTCGTAATAAATAGTATTGAAGTCTAGCTCATTAAAGTATGTAAGCTTCACCGAGTCATTGTGGGTTTCGATCCAAGATCATTCCTTCAACTTTCTCACCACTCGATCAACTGAACTACCCATTAGATGCAGAAGTATAAATAATTAAAGTAAATATATCCGATTGATCTCAAATGGTTTAATTAACGATATTATTTAAAAATACGAAAATAAAACAAGCAGCCAATTGAAAACTAGGAACATGTATTATTATTGACTAAGATGGGCCTAAATCTGTGATATACTCCGTAATAATCTTAAATGATCTTATCCAATACAATTATCAAGCATTTGGGGCTTTGAAATTTTCGTTAATGTCAGACTGACTTTTTAGTCCTAACTAGGTCAAAATAAACCAACTTATACGAATCAGATTAGAATAGCTTCTAGTCTTCTACACCGGATCAGATTTAGGTAACAAAATAAACACAAGTAATACTCCGTAGCTATGAAGCACGGATACTTCCCTAGGGTAACGTATCGGCGTATCGGATACGTTTCCGTATCCGATACTCTAGGATACCCGTACCGTACGTTCCCGGACCGTATCTGTAATTTTTAAAAGTTTCCATTTTTTTTGTAATTTTTTGAAAGTTTCCGATACTCGTATCCTGACGGATACCCTTATCATTGGCAGTTTTTTTGGAAGATGATATTATTCCTGGAAATTAATACTTACAGTGAAAATATGTATTAGATGTTAGAGCTTTTAAAATATTGTTTTCTCTTAATTATTCTAGAACTTTGGTACTTATTTCTCATTTTAAATTAATGACTTATCGACTACATGTCTACATTTATAATTCGATATGCACTAGTGTATATGAGAAATATTATGATGTATATGTAATGAATGGGTATACATGTATATACAGGATATATATATATATATATATATCCAAAAAAAATATTATTTTTTGTATGTTTCATAGGATATTATATGTATATATTTCCAAAAAAATCTATTTTTGTAATATTTATAAATACACCCTTGTAACTTTTAAAATTTGTAAATACACCCACATAATTTTTAATATTTAAAAATATGGCCCCGTATCCGTATCCTACTTTTTTTGTTTTGCCGTATCCCCGTACCCGTGTCCGCGTTTCCGCGATTCCGCGTACCGGTATCAGTGCTACATAGCTCCGTAGTAGATATTAACATATCACATTAGGCATGTTTAAACTTAAATTAAACCTAACCACATCTAGATCAACCAAACTAAACTAGATCAGACTTCAACATATTAGACCATATTAAACAACATGACATATGAAACAATGATTCTCTAATTTTTATTTAAATTTATATTGAAGAAAATGATATATGTGAAATAATTATAATTTGCCCATGTTTTGATATTTTAACTCGGAAGCTGATCATATTTTTGATTTATTAACTCTGATGATGATCACATTTTTTCTTATGTGTTCTGCGAACCCATTATTTTGGGACAAATTATTGTTATTTTAATATTGAAAATTGAAAATCATAACAAGTTACAGAACATAATGAAAGATGATATGGAGAATGTGATAAATTGGATCACGAGAATGTGATGCGATTATTAGAAAAATGAGTTTGTGCGCTTTATATTGATTTGATTAATTAAGAAAAAAGTAAGAATGAAGTTAAACTACATAAACATTTATCAAACTTGATTTTGTGACAATCTAAATGAGACGGAATGAAAAAGAAAGATGAAACATCCTTAACAGAAATATAAATTTTAGAACAATAATTCCTTTTGTACACCTTATACACATCATTGTCCCTTCGTGTCTATGAGAGTTTTTTTTGTCTGTGAATTCCAGTCTACAAACAAAAACAGACTTGTTTTTTCACAGGCAAAACAAGCATGTTTTTGTCTGTGGACTGGGATTCACAGATAAAAAAATCTCACGGACACAAGGATGTACTGATGTGTATAAGAAGATGTACACTAACATGGTTGATTTTAGAATACACTAAAATACAAAGACGAGTACCATTGCATTACCACATGTTCCACGTGTATTGCCTCTTGGAAAAGTCTTTTTCTTGAATAGTCAAGAGTCAGATCTCATAGTCCTTTAAGGTTTTCTTGGTCCAAAGGTGTATCTCTCAACCTAGGAGTCTTCACCCCGATCCGACAGGATGGTTGGGAGGTTAATCACAGTGACTCAATCAGCAAAGCGACGGTAGGCCTTATACAAGTGCGTACCAGAGGTTCAGCCTTATTTCAGGTTCTATAACTTCCACACCGATCGCTGCGAATTTCGAACCTTAGTCACATGTTCTAATTTTCCCACCACTTGATCCTTTAAGGTTTTCTAATTCATGAGTTATTGTTATTATTATTAATTTATTATTATTAATTAATTACTTACAGATTGCAAGAGAGTGATGGAAGAGTCTTTGTTTGTGTTGGGAGAGTTCGGTGGCAACGACTACACACACGCGCTTCTTTCAGGAAAAGATATTAATGTCATCACGACTTTCACCCCACACGTTACCCAAACCATTGGCCGAGCTGTCCAGGTAAGGGAAACCTCATATATGCAACGTGAAAAAAATGGGAACAAAAAAGTCCATCAAGATGGATGAGTCAAGAAAAATAAAAATAATTGTCTAATTAGAATGTTTTTATTTGGACTGAAATTTGTTGATCTAATCTAGTCTGATCTAGTCAGATTTGGTCTTGGTGTATTTTATGAATATCCAAGTCTAGTTTGATCTGATCTGGTACTGAAAACATTCTTATTAGGAAAAGGGGTTAGGGATACAATAGTACTAAAAATTAGTTAGATAAATAAGAGTTTTTTTTCCTAAGTTTCACCCCATTCCACTAGACTCAATTGGATTTATTGATGAATTGTACTCCGGCACGGGAAATCGGGAATTTGATCAATACACCATTCACATTCATTACTTTATTTGAAAGTTAATTAAATGATTTGTCCGATTATATTGAAGATTACTATTGGTGAAAAAAGATTATTAAAAAAGTTTATTGAGAAAGAAAATTCAATATCAAGATTCAAATCGGTACTACTTCAAATTGTAGTTAAATACGGAGTATACATTTAATGCATGTCTCAAAAAGATTAATGATTTCAGAATCAAGAATGACAGTTTTAGACTTTTAGGTACTCTTATCAAACTACTCCGTGGTAGGTATCATAAATGTTAAATGTTTTTGGCGCCATAAAAAGCGGTAAAGTTCGTTGCCGTAATCACGTGTCGAAAATTTAAGGGAATGGAGTCAATCGACCATCATTGCCTTTGCTGCATACTCAAAGAAAAATCGTTGTCCTTACTCCTTAGGGATCCCTTGTCCTTATTGTCATAGCTCTTTCCTTCCTCAAAGATCATTGTCGCCATCCCAACCTAATAGTCGTTCGGTAACATCAAAATTGGCTAAATTGATTGATTATATTGAAATTTATGAAGTTTTGGCTGAAGTTGCTGAATTGGCTGATTCTGCTGATTCATAAAAAAATTATATTTAAAAATATTTGTTATTAATAAATAAAATAAAAAATTATATGAAAAATAGCTAATATTATCATCTACTGTAACTTCACCCAATACAGCCAGAAAAGTAACTTCAACCTTACATAACTCATCCGGGCTAACTTCCTTAAGGAGCATTAAATTTCTTTCAAACAACTAAGGGTCATCCTCAACAACACGATTCATATCCACAATATGGTAAAAAGTAAACAGATACTCCCTCCGTTCCTAAAAATTCTTCCCGGTTTGACTTGGCACGCTTATTAAGAAAGTGGAATAAAGTGGAAATGTATGGTTGTGGTTGTGTAAGAAAAAGGTAAAATGAATGTGAGCCACACAAATTGTCCAAAATGGGAAAGTGAGAAGTATTTTTGAGAACAGCCCAAAAAGGAAAGTGGGAAGTATTTTTGGGAACGGAGGGAGTACTTTTTGTCGCCTATTTCTTTGATGGATACCCCTTTACCCGCACGCCAAATAGAGGCCAAAAGATTTTTGAAGACTTCAAAATTGATTTTTCGGTCAGTGAGAACGACTCCAAGTATCGGAAATTTGGCTCTCTTCTCGGCTGTAGTAAAATCCTCGCCTCCCTCGTCATTGAAATTCAGTTCGCTATCCTCCTTTCCAATAGCATCTTCTTGTAGTGATTCACAATATCATCCATCAATGGCCTTCGCATTATTCACGAATCCGCTACCCCTCCATATGATTTAGAAACAACGTCGAGCAGCTTCAGTCTTGCCGACTCGGTCCCTTTTCATTTGCTTGCCCGGATCACTTTTCAATCTGATTTTAAGGCTAATCGCAACATGGTTCTATACTCGAATGACCTTATTAAATTATTCTAATAGTCCGTTTTATAATGAGAACTATATATAAATCAGGACAAAAACAATACAACAGTATATTTTTGTAAAAAAACGAGTACAAGTCACTTTAAACGAAAGGAAATACTTTCCCCTCCAGGTCCAATCATTTCCTCTTCCGTGTGAGAATTCCTACTCTCTCCAACAACTTCATTTATCACCCTTATTCTTCCCACGCTGGTGAATATAGGTGACAAATCCCCCACCTACCCTGAAGTGCACACACTCACTTTGTCACATTTTTATACTCCTTTCGTCCCATATTTAACTCTGTTTTTACCGGGCACGGATTTTAAGATATTGGGATTTATGTGGTGGAGATTTATGCAGATGAGAGAGAAATGTGTAAGAATGGTTGTGAATCACATATTCTTTACCAAAAAGGGAAAAATGAGATAAATTTGGGACGGATCAAAAATGAAAGAATGAAGATAATTCCGGGACGGAGGGAGTACAATTTTTTGGCACATTTGTATACAATTTTTTTGGAAGGATTACAACAACCTTGAACTAAAAACATCACAAATAGCATCATTTACCCCCTTGAGTTGCGATTAGCCTTAAAATCACATTGAAAAGTGATCCGGGCAAGCAACCGTGCCTCAGTTCCTTCCGGCCCTACGAGGGTTAGTCTGGTCAAAGACTCAAAGATGGATCAAAGCAATCAATGTTTATTGAAAGTATAACATAAAGAGGCTGTTTGGTAACACCTTTTATCGGCTTATCAGGCTTATCAGCCAACTTTTTCACCAAACACGTAACTTTTGCTTTCGCGCGCTGAATTGTGTAATAAGCAGAAAAAGTAAGGTTGGAGTTACTTTTCTGGCTGTATTGGCTGAAGTTACTGTAGATGACCATTTTAGCTATTTTTACATATAATTTTTTCATAATTTTATCAATAAATTATATTTTAAAAATATTTTTTTCTTAAATCAGCAGAATCAGCCAATGCAGCCACTTCAGCCAGAACTTCATAAATTTCAGCAGAATCAGCCAAATCAGCTGATTTTCGTGTTACCAAACGGGCTCAAAATATGTATTACATACGGATTATTTTATTAAGGAAGATATCTCAAAATAGGAGTAAATGGAGTTTGAAATTCCAAAATAGGATTACTATGTTTTTATTCCCGAAATAGGACTAACATGACAGTATTTACTGTCATCTTGTAGGCGTGATTACCAAATAGTTGCAGTACAGTGCATTTAACGTGACAGTATTTATTATAATTAATAACAGTATTTTTCGTACATGGTAGTAACAACTCTTATTTGGAGAAGAAAAAAATAGTAGTCATATTTTGGAATTTCAAACTTTATTTACTCCCATTAAGGGCAATTTCCCTTATATTAAAGTTTCAATGCTAAGAACTAATCCAATTCAATTCGAAAATTAATAATGGTTATTATAAGAATAAAAAAAAGGAGTGTAAATTAAAGTTTTTTCATAAAATTCAAAATGTTTTGGAAATGAGATTGAGAATATTTAAACATAATACTCCGTGTATAAAATACAAATATAGTTGATTGATATTATAAATATTTCATAAAAATGTCATTAGTATAATATAATAAAATAGGGGTTGGGTTGGGATTGCTGCTGCCCATATCCAAACCCTATATAGCCTAAAACCAGGGCCGGTCCTAGGGGCGACCGCCCTACGCCAAAGAAAATAGGAAGCAAAAATAGGCACAAAAATATTTCTTTATATGTATATAGTGTGAGTAGACTTTTTTTTTTTAATTTTTAAACTCAATTAATTAGGTCCAAAGTTTAATTTTTAAAATAAATGTAAAGAGCCACGTCTGTCTTAATTGTCTTCACATCATTATGCTTTATAATCCTTGTAATTTCAATATTACCAAGTTATGTTAAGCGGCCTCCCAATTCCAAAACTTCCAATTGGTAAAACCCATCCAAATTGATTTGTTGTTTCCAAATTCCAAGATCAACAAGAGTAAAGAATGCTGCAAAACGATGAGTGCTCTGGTTTGTTAAAAAGTCAATCAATCGAGGAGACCAAAAAACTTTTTGCTTTATTTCAAGGCTTTAAACAATCCAATAGTGACCGGTAAAATAATCTTGATAAAATGGGTGAATCGGATTGGAATAAAGAGAGAAAGAGGAGAAGATTAGAAATGGCAAACATAAGTCAGAAAGGGTCAATGGAAAAATTTGTTTTTGTTAAGAAATTGAATTTTAAAAATTCCGCGAGAAACGTTTTTAAGTAATGTTTTTCAAAGTTGAAGATTCTGGTAAACTATATGTGATCGACTGTCTCAAGAAAGACTTAATGTGTTAGCAAATTTAAGTATTGAGCATGTGATATTGAAAAATGTTGATTATAAAGTAATTATTGATGATTTTGTTGCACAATGTGCAGAGATTTTTAAGTAATGTTTTTCTTTTATGTGATACTTGCGTTGTTACTTTTCACCAAATATGTATTTTAAATGATAACAATAAAATGAGATTCATTTTTATTTTATGACCTTTATTAGGTAATTTTATTATAATTATTATTTTAAATAAGTATAATTTATTATTTATCTTGAATATAAGTTCAAAATATTATCTCGCCCATTGACCTGAAAATATACAAGACCGGCCCTGCCTAAAATTTTATAAAAAAAAAATCTTATAAACAGGAATTTAACATAGGAAAATTTATAAACAAAACTAAGTGTGTTTTCTTTCCCAAATATAAGATTTATGTAATCCTAAATAGTAGTGCATGAGCCATATTTTGAGAAGAAAACGATGGCTCTCCTATTTGAGAAATTTAATGCCATTCAAATGACATTAGTTGCCAAATAAGAACGTGAAAATATGGTTTTATTTGGCAAATAGATCGAAAACATGGCATTGTAAAAACTGTAAGTTGGAAGTAATATTATCATTTTGATAAACATAAATTATATATTTTGAAATAATTACATATTTATGACTAAAATAAAGTTTGTTCACAAAAATATGACCAGAGATTATAATAGTAACTTAATTAATTACAGTAATTTATGTACAATTTTTAAACTTAAGTGACTATGACACTATATTGTATTAATTATTAGTCATATTTGTTTAAATAAGTTTTATTTAAAAAACATCAGTATGAATTGCCCTAACAATGACATAATTTTAAAATAATAAACCTGGCTATAGCATTTTCGGATAAAAAATAAATAATCTGGAAATTCTGAATTAAACTAATCGAAATAATTAGAAATTAAAATGAAATATAAAAATTCCAATCAATAGTACGTCTTTTGCATTACAAAATTCAAAATTGCATGCAGATTCAAAATAGCTATTTTTGTTGACAATCACAAAGTAAATAAAATACTCCCTCCGTTCCCAAATAAACTTCCAACTTTTCTTTTTCGTCTGTTCCAATTAAAACTTCCACTTTCCCTTTTTGGTAAAGAATTTGTGGTTCACAACATTTCTTACACATTTTCTCTCTCCTCTGCACAACTCTCCACCACACAATATCCACTATCTTAAACTTTGTGTCAACCTCATTTGGAAGTTAAAATGGAAACGGAGGTAGTAATAAATAGAAAAAAGCAAAAGCTAGTTCAAGAGCAAGACGAGAGATGAGAATTTCTATATTTTATTCAATTTGGTTAAGAATAATAATTGTATTAATAAAAATATTTCAGAGATTAGTGGAGTTGGGGGCTAGGACAGTGATGGTGCCGAGCGTGCTGCCGCTTGGCTGCGCCGCCTCATATTTGACGTATTACCCAAGTGCGAAGGCGGAGGACTACGACGAATGGGGGTGTCTGATATGGGCGAACGACATGGCTTACCACCACAACAACCTTCTCCAGGAACAGCTCCACCGTCTGCGCCGCCTTCACCCCTACGCCAACATTGTTTACGCCGATATCTTCCATGCTGCCATGCAAATTTATGTCGCCCCTTCAAATTCCGGTAAATATGTTTATATACTACGTACATCTTTTGTGGCCGGGTCGGTTCACTAAATTAAGGGCCCGTACCCGGCCCGGCCCAATCCCCCAACCGGGCCTAGGCCGGAACTGGTTACCTTAGACAGGGTCGGTCCGGGACGGGCGGCCCGGACCTGATCCATCCCTACTCTTGACACAAAGAGTGGGTCTACATTTACTTTTGGGAAAAGGGGCAAATAAGCCTACGTACTAACAAAAAAAGGTCAAATAAGCCCTTATATAGGAGGCTATGTCCGGCCGTCGCCATTTGGGGCAGTTCCCGGTGAAATTTTTTGAAAATCTTATTCATTAAGTCTAGTTTACTCATACCAAATTTCAGCTAACAATTCAATTGAGAAGATCGACATTCAAATAAATTTTTGAAGATAACAACGTTTTTAACTGCGCAGTTATCTTCAAGAATTCATTTGAATACCTTCCCAATTGGAGTTTTAGCTGAAATTTGGTATGTGTAAACTAGACTTAATGAATAATATGCTCAAAAAATTGCATCAAAAATTTCCACCGGGAATCGTCGCAAAAGACAACGACCGGACATAACCTCCTATATAAGGGCTTATTTGACCTTTTTTTTGTTAGTACGTGGGCTTATATACCCCTTTTCTCTTTACTTTTCTCTTATATGTGAAGACCAGTAATATGTAACTATGTGACTTCAATTTTCTACCCACCCCAATATTGTAATAGTATGAGCCATATGATTTTGATTACAATGCAAGTTGTAATCATGATTATTGGAGAATTAAGTGAAAATAATCTCGATAAACCAAATTTGAAAGGATCTTCATTTTCCTAATATTTACGTAGTACGGAGTATGTCTCATTAAAAAGTTTGAGTTATAATGTCAGGGTCACTTTGAAATTTGACAATTAAAATGCTAACAAAAAAATATGAAAGGAGAACATATATAGGAGAACGTTAAAAAGAAATGTAAACTATTGGTTCGCACTCAACAAATTTATTTTAATTTAATGTTAAGTTCATTTTTTTGTTTATTGCTATTGTATAATAACAGTTTGGTTGATTTTCTTTTTTTTCTCAAGGCTAAACCAATAATGCGAAAAGTGTTTCAGCAATATTTTCCTTTCGCAACTAATTCCCCTAGATCAAAATACAATCTTAGACTTCTCAAGAGAGATTATTGTGGAAAACAGAAATAATGCATAAAAATTGAATTAACTAATTTTCCATAGTGAAATATTGAATTAACTAATATGAGTGAGTTTTAAAAAAATTAAAATAATAATATTGAGTTTGGCGACATTCATTGAAAATTAAAGGTGACATGCATACTGTAAAAAGAATTTCATGGATCAATGTCACACTTGCTTCATTTTCCTATTTTTGAATAGTCCAATCGTAACAGGCTAATTATTGGTGATTTGGTACTTCAACCCATAATTTGTCTTTATCTCAGCGGTTATTAATACTTAAAATCGTTCAACTATAATATTTTAATTGGTTCACAGTTTTAATGCATCTAACTCTCTTGTAAAATATACATTCAGTGAATTAGCCTCTCTGATTTAATAATTTTTGAAGGGGATTTTGCGCATTAATAATTATAACGCAGCACGCTTTGATGTATTTCTTAAATCACAATGTCTAATACGTCGAATTTATATTTCACGAAGGGATTTGGTAAACTCATTGATTCACATGTACAATGCACGATTCTGCGTACACTAAATTTTGACATTTAAAAGTTGATTACTACCTCCGTCCCACTAAGATTGAGACAAGAGAAGGTGTCACGATTATTAAGAAAAGTGAGTTTGTGTGGTTGATAATAACTTGATAAAGTAAGAATATAGTAAAAATCATTTAGAGCCACACAAATTTTATCAAATTTGATATGGGACAATATTAGAAAGATTTCCCGAAAAAGTAAAATGAGACAATCTTAACGGGGACAGGGAGTACTATAAAAAGAAATTAATGGAACATTTTCTCCCAATGGCTTGGGCCAGGATTTTCAGCGGGTGCCCTAAGAGCGTGCTGCGGAGGGGGGGGACCCTACAACTTCAACCCTAGTGTTCAATGCGGAAACGAGGGAGCCACGAGCTGTGAAGACCCTTCCTTATACGTCAACTGGGACGGCTACCACTTGACCGAGACAGCTTATTCCTACATCACCGATGCTTTATTAGACGGTCCATATACGTATCCTCGCATGGACACACTTTGTCCTTCCAACCTCAGGGTTGCTCAAGTTTGATGAATTCATCCATTGTTATATATTATTACGTACGTACGTAATAATATTATTATTATTATTAATTATTATTACGTACGTAATTGTTATATATTACTATTAATTTATTATTATTACTTCTTGATTAGTGAGACTAGTATTATTGGAAAGCGTGCGGATTGCGCACAATTGTATTTAAAATTGAATTAGTTAGCCCAATTCATTGCACTACGAATTGATATGTTGTGATATGATGTTTATCATAATAATAAATGATGACTATTAAATAATGCTGTTTCACCTGTTTCCCCTATTGCCCTGATTGATGAATGGATAGTTTTTTTGAACATAAATGCTCTATCAACCACTTTTTAACATGGTGAAATGGGAGAGTTTCACACAACACAAATGATGAAGGTACTCCAAAATGTATCCCATTTTTTACCTATACCCCCTAATGTGTGGCCATAAATGGGTCAATTCATTTAAATGGGGCACCACTTAAATGAATTGACCCATTTATGACCACACATTAGGGATTGGAGTAAAAATGGGGTACATTTTGGGGTACTCCTAGCAAAACTCTTCACACAAAATGGATTGCTCAAAAAAACATGGCAAAATGGGTTGCTACACCTTTTTGTACACGTTTTGTGTATACTTCCATTTTTTCTATTTACGTAGATAATTCATCTATAAATCATCTTGTAGATAGATAATTGGAGAGAGTTTACGCACAATGTGGACACAAGATGCGCTCTTCTAACATGTACCTATAGTACTACCTACATACCATGAAAATACCGTATCATCTCATAAAGTTTGGATCATATTTTTATATTTTTAATTAGTACCATGTACGGACTATAATATCATGAAATTACATTTAATAAAGAGCATTTTCATATTATTTTGATACTACCACCGTTCCCATTTTAACTTCCAAATGGGTTTGGCACAAAGTTTAAGATAGTGGATATTGTGTGGTGGAGAGTTATGCAGAGGAGAGAGAAATGTGTAAGAAATGTTGTGAACCACAAATTCTTTACCAAAAACGAAAAGTGGAAGTTTTAATCGGAACGGACGAAAAATGAAAGTTGGAAGTTTATTTAGGAAAGGAGGGAGTATTATATTTGTAAATAATTTCCAATAAAAATATATAATTGATTAAAGTTTTACCGATAATAAAGTTTTTTGAGACAGTACTAAATATTTTGTGTGAAAGGTCAAATTGATCATCAAAAGATCCATTTTTTTAAATTAAAGCCAAACAAATAAAGGGTAAAATTGTAAAACAGATCTGAGTACAATATGAATAACGTTTAAGCCTCATATCAAACTTAAGATACAATTGGAGGTTATCAATAATGTACTCACTAGTGCAAAAATATGGATGTAATATTTAACCTTGAATGCCGATTGCACACAATTGTATTTAAAGTTGAATTAGTTAGCCCAATTCATTGCACTACAAATTGATATGTTGTGATATGATGTTTATCAGAATTCAGAAGAAAATAAATGATGACTATTGAATAATGCTATGGATAGACCCGGGCCGGTCCGGTTCCAAGTTGGGTCGGCCCAAACCGAGCCCATGCCTAAATAATGTTGTTTCACCGGTTTGCGTTATTGGATAGTTTTTTTGAACATAAATGCACTATCATCCACTTTTTTAACATGGCAAAATGGTTAACTAATTAAATAACGGTATCAGGAAAAAAACTTTTATCAAACATCAAAAGTAATTAAAGGCCCATACAAGGCGGCCAAGTCTAGGGTTTTCCTAGGGAGTTCTCCGGCGGCGTGGCTGGTCCGGCTAAGGAAGGCTGCGGGAGTCAGGCGGTGCCAACGAACTTCTAGCGGCGGTCTCTTTCCTCTTCGTAGGATTTGGCAATTCCGCCGATCTGGTGCGGCTCGTGCAAGGCGAACTGAAGCACAGGATAGTAGATGGCGACGAACGACTCGAATCAGCAAGTAATCGGCGGCCAACATGAAGCGAAGGAGGAGAGCCCAGGAGAGAAGTATGTGAGACGAGGAGAGTTGCACGAGATTCTAATAGGCCAGATTTCGATCGACAATGGAAGTTCAATTAGAGTGGTACCAATGATACGGCCTCCTCATGAACCACCGCCATGGTTTGTACGAGATGCTAGAGTCCGTGATAGTTTTCGTATTAGTTATTATTATTTTGTCATTTGGTTTCTTATTATCATTTTGGTTGTTAGATCTATCAATTTGTTTGGGATGATAGCCTTTTTTAATTTTGTCAAGACTCTAGAACCTAGGATAGGTGATGGGGAAATTAGTTTACTAGTCATTGGCTCATGTAAGCCCAATTTAGGATCAGCGAATTTGGGTGCTTCATTAGAGGTGACATATTCTAAGTCTGGTTCAAGGACAGACGGTAGACTATATGTTCTTTGTCTGTTTGTACCCTGCTTACGTTCTTTCATATTAATATAAACCACCTGCTTCCACAAAAAAACATGGCAAAATGGGTTGCTACACATTTTTGTACACATTTTTGTACATGTTGTGTGTGCACTTCCATTTTGTCTGTTTATGTGGACAATTCATTTATAAACCGTATTGTAGATAGATAATTGGAGAGGGTTTACCGTTTACGGACAATGTGTACAAATAGTGTGTATCAAGCCACACTCTTTTAACATGTACTCAGGGATGGATTTAAGGGAGGGCGCGGGGGTGCGACCGCCCTCCTTGAACTTTCAAAAATTTCTACTATAGATGTAATGTTTTTATAAAATTATGATACTTTAATTAGATTCGTCCTCCTTAACTTTTTTTGAACATTGCTCCCCTTAACTTTTAGTTTTTAAAATTAATATATAGTCTTATATAATGTAATACTTAATTGAAGATTTTAAAAAAGGAACATCTAAAATAATTTACATAAATAAATAATAGAACAACTCATTGTTTAAGATTTAGGATACTTATTATATAAAAATAACTAATTTTGTACTACGTAATGTTTAAATATCTTTATTAGATAACTAGTAAACAATTTTAAAAAATATATATCAAACGATATTAAATGCCAGACACTCTAGCTATAGAGTTTTTAGATCATGTGAAGTGAATCCAAATTATAAATGCTTATTGACATTAAGTTACACAATTCATTTACTTCTTACGTTCTAAAAAGACTTTATTACATAGATAATGAACTTTAATTATTTTTGTATTAATACAAATATAATATGCACTTTATGTATATGAATTAGCAATATAATATTGATCTAAAACTAATAATATCATACATACTATTGTAATATTAAAAGAAATGCTTGTGACTTTTGAACACCCTCCATGGTAGACAAAAATTGTAATTCAAAAATCATTCTTTATTTGTATAAGACTCATGTAGTTAAACAATGTTGTAGTTATTTTAAAAGTATTGATGAATGTGTACCTTATAAATTCTTTATATTTAAATAAAATATTGGGAAAATCGCATATATGGTCCCTCAGTTATCCACGAAATTAAAATCTCAGACCTATATTTCTGAGATTGTAAATGTCACCCCTCAATTGTCCAAAATGCTGTAAATGTGATCCTTTTGAGGGGTGAAATATGCAATGTGGGTGAGAGTACATTTCACCATTTAAAGGACCACATTTACAACAATTTGGACAATTGAGGGGTGGTATTTTCAATATCAGGGGTGGTATTTTAATTTCGTGGATAACTGAGGGACCATATATGCGATTTTCCCTAAAATGTTATGTAATATATATCCTTTTTTATTTTCCATTGATTTGTCATTTCTTATGCTTTAATGCATCAATACTTTTTTCTAGAGCACTCCAATTATAAAATTAAAGTTGTTTTGTCATTGTCTAAACTTAGAATATAATATATAGATTTAAATGCCGTCATATATGTATTAATGCATTTTTTTTGAATAAAAATAGCCGACAGAGCCTTACACTAGAGAAAAATTTCGTCCCACTACACTAGCAAAAAAAATTTGCCCCGCTGCACTAGTGAATTTTTTTATCTCCTGCACTAATGAAAATTTTCGCCCCCTTGACTCGAAATCCTGGATCCGTCCGTGCATGTACTACCTACATACCCTGAAAATATTGTATCATCTCATAAAATTTGGATCATATTTTTTATTACTACTACGTACGGATTATAATATCATGAAATTACTTTTAATAAAGAACATTTTCATGTTATTTGATATTATATTCGTAAATAATTTCTAATAAAAATATATAATTGATTAAAGTTTTAAAGATGATAACGTTTTTTTGAGACAGAGCACTGCATATTTTGTGTGAAAGGTCAAATTGATCATCAAAAGATCCATTTTCTTTTGAATCAAAGCACAATTAAATAAAGGGTAAAATTGTAAACTAAATCCATCACATTATCAATAACGATTAAGCCTCATATCAAACTTCAGATACAATTGGAGGTTAATGGCACAAATATTACTCGCTAACTTTCATTAGACAAAAATATGATCAGATTGTTTTTTGGAAAAAATGAAAACTAATAATCCAACCTTTTAGCGATTTTCTTACAATAGTACCACATTTTCATTATTCATGAATAATCCAAGTTTTGCACCTCAACTTCATTCACAGGTTCCTGACCGATTTATGACCTGTTATTCCAAGTTATTTTCTTATCTTTGCAAAACATTATGTGATCATAAAGTGTGAATTATGGTATAATATTTTACAAAGATAAGAAAATAACTTAGAATAACAGGTCATAAATCGATCATAGACTAATGAATGAAGATGTGGTGCAAAAGTTGTATTATTCATGAATAATGAAAATGTGGGACTATTGTTAAAACAACGCTAAAAGGTTGTATATTAGTTTCCATTTTCCCTTTTTTCACAAAAAAGTGACTGACCCTTTCCGTTTTTTCCTTATACGCTTTGGGGGGCCATCATCTTCTGCGCTGCAAGCGAAGGCAGAGGCAGCTTGAGCATTTTGGAGGCCCCAGACGAAAAATATTTACTATGTACAAATCATTTTTAAAATCAGATAAATTGAATAAAAATCGCCTTATGAAAAAAAGCATATTCAAAGTCTACGATATAATGTTTGTAATATTCAAAAGGATAAATTTTAAAATGCAAACATATTCAAAACACAAGGCAAACTTGTACTTGTAAAAGTATTAAGAGACTTCAAGAACGAGACTCAGAGAGAAGAGCTGACGAGTCTTAGTTGATTCACTAACCAAGGACCCATGTCGACGACGGGCAGTGAGGCATATATACAGTAGCCGTTTAGCGATCTGTGTTGGACGTTGATGCG